CCCGCTTTACTCGCTTCATTAAATTAATTGCGAACGAGCAAATTTTTGGAGTTTAATCAAATTTTGGAGATGTGCGAATTTTATTGAAATACAGGCAGAAATTTTATATATATATATATATATAATAATTGATTACATCTCATCGGAAATTTGCTAAAGCCGACTAAGAACGAGGTTCTGATTTAATCGTGACGGTAGTCGCTATACTCACGTTGGTTTCACTATCCCTGATTAGGAAATCTCCGTCGTGGCCGTGTTGATTGAGCAGCGTGTCGCATTGCGAGCGCGTAATACTACCGTAGTACCAAGGCTTACCGACGAGATGCGGTCGATCGCCGGGATCCGGCCTCCGTTCGAGAGAATCCCCCTGGCTGATCTCGCTACTCGTCATACCACGCTCGCGGTACGGTTGTGTCAAGTACTCGCTGAGCTCCTGGAGATAATTGCGCGGTACCAGTCCAACCTGTCCTTGACTGTTTCTCGCCTTGTACCACTCGGGATCCGCCGGTGGACGATCGAGGATCTCGAGGCGATCGCCCTTTTCAAACGACAGCTCTTGATCGTTGTTAGACGAGAACGAATAGAGAGCCACCACGATGTCGAGCACATTCTCGGCCATCGCATATGTATGAAGCGTGTCGTCGGCATCGCCTTCCTCCTGGGTGTAATTTGATGGAAACCAGCCGGCCTGAGTGCCGCTCTGACCCCGCCACCAGCCATCATTGCTCTTCTCGAGTATCAGAATCCTGGTGCCCTTCACGAGGGACAGCTCGTCCGCCTGCTGCGCCTGATAATTGTACTTGACGACTGCGGTACCGATCGCCTCACTCGGATCGGCCGGCAGACGTCGCGCCATAATGGGGGATTCGACCGCCCGGGACGGCGAGTTACTGGATGGTAGGGTCTTGGAGCCAGAGCCCTTTTTGACCTTTTTCTTAATACTATCGAACAACGAGGGCTTCTCCTTCTTAACATAGTTGCTTGGTACATAGCCCGCCTGTCCTCTCGCGCTCTGCACTCGCCACCAATGCTTTGAATCATCCAGCAGCAAATAACGATCATTCTTACGTAAATCTAGCTCTTGGGCACCCTGTGCCCCATAATCATATTTGGCGACAACGTAACATACGTCGTCTTGACTCGTCTTGCCTGAAATGTATCACGATTATTATCATTGTACATCGTACATGTAATAAAGGCGCGTAAGAAATGATTAACGTTAAACTATTTCACTTTTATTAATGTTTGTTTAATGATCGTTTAGTAATATGTACATGACATTTATTACAAGCACTGCTATGATTTATCAATTTCCAACTCTGATTTCTATAATTTTTGAAAACATCAAGAAAGTTTACCATTATAATTTAAAATAAAATATACTTAAAATAAAATTATATAAGATCATCAGGTTCATATATACTATTTTTGATAATAAGACATACGGGACAGAACCAAACTTACTGTGTTCTTAATCATCACACAAATTACAATATACTTCAATAATTTACGCAACAAATCACAATCAATGCAAAATCTATTATTAACGCAGCAATCCAATTTGAGATCGAATGTCAAAGATAATACAAAAATAAAAATTCCCAATATTCTCAGAGGGACCGAGAAATGTACAATAAAATTTATCAAGGTACACAAGAACAAGTTATGATCGAAGTAATACTCATGTGGACCTGATGAAAACGTCATCGAGATATTGTGAATCAAAAGAAAAATTTACATACAAAGCAAAGCGTACAAAAATAAAACGTACCATGCTTCATGGCTGCCATGTGCGTAAAAATAAATACATATATATGTACGAAGATATATATGTATTTAGATTTTGTATGTACAGCTGAGTGTGGCGTGAGTAGCTGCTACTCACGTACTACTTCAACAAATCTTTTAAGTCTGCTTGTACAGAGTTGACGGCGTGAGTGCAGCAGGCATTCATTATTTAGTTTTTGCTTTTTTTTTGTTCAGTGCTGATGCACCTGCTGATTTCTTTGGTCAGAATCCATCGTTCTCAAGGGTAGCGCAAGCAAGTGCATTACCAACACTTTGGGAAAAACAAAATAAACGAGATCATTAGCACGAGATTATCAGAGTATAAAACTTCATTTTTATTATAGTACTTAAAGAGCTACGCATGTCATAGAGTGCATTATGCATCCCAGAATGATATTTGCGACTTTCAAAAAATTACAAAGTTTCTAAGAAAGTTCATAATAACGGTCATTTTATAACTGTGCAAGATACTTATTACAATAATGACGTTCATGTCAGTATATAATTCTGAATAATGAGTTTAAAGTTATACAAAGAATCAAAGACATTATAGTAAAAAAAATGAAATAATACGGATACGTTAAAGATTCACTCTATGGCATGCCTGTCTACTTTTCTATAACCTTTATTCTTCTATAAACATGCAATATATTCTATAACTGAAATAACACTGTCACGATAAATATGCTGTGTAACGAAACTATTTATAAACTATAAATACAAGCGACTCAATACAATGTAAATAATAACATTATAAACCAGTTGGAAACTGCTATAAGCGATGTATAAATCAGTGATCATCATACCGCTTATCATGTTACTTGAATTGAGTGACAGTTATGCTAATATAATAATACTTGTATAGACAGTGCATAATCTACCATGAGAGATACTATAATACAAACATATATTCATGCAATAGACAAAAAAATGTCCTACTCTTAAGCTAATAATTAACAAATTTAATTCTCCCAATCAAATAAAGGCTCGACAGAAATTCATTTTCGTTAAACAAAATGTATGTGATATGCAATAATATTAAAATTTCTCCCTGTTTTTCTATCCTGTATCTTATCTGTGAAAGATTCCTCCGCATTCCGAGAGGAAGGAGAGTGTCGGAGGTGACGTGTGATCTATGGTCTGTTTTCTGTTCCTGCACTAGACTACACTAGAAGACAAATATCAAATATATATCTATTTCACTTTAAGTTCCAAAAGTGTATACTGGTTCAGCCACAGAAAACAGACCTCTAAATTCTAAAGGATCGATCAAATGTCATTCTTGAGCGACGATTTGTCGTATCGACGTAACTGTGCTCTACCAAAACTTACGATTCAATTTCGCGTAAAACATAAGAGGCGCATTTGTGAGTCCCTTGAAGGCACTTTAAATAAAGCTGGTCACGTCAATCCGAATTCTCTCCTTCCGGTACGGTACGATACGGTACGGTACGTCTCGCGCAAGTAGCAAACGTAATCTAATAAAAAGCAACGAAAAGCGAGCGAAGCATCTCGACGAGAACGAATCCTGACGAATCCCGCCGTGTGTTATGTTACGAGTACGAGAAATGCCCGGTGTCGCGCATCTTCGCGCACAATCAATCGTGATTCACACCATGTTAGCGAACTTAGTGAGAGTACCGGCGAATCGGAAAACCACCGGCGACGGCGAGGTCGGCGAGATATTACCGAGAGAAAATTTGCTGTCCGAAGCGACACTGACTCAACTGACGAGCGACCGTGGATCTCTACTTCTCCTTCTCTGTCTCTCTATCTAGCAAAAAGGAGAAATAACCGAGCGAGAGACAACACAAACCTTCGCGCTTACGTGCGACTTGCGAGAAGCACAAGAAGCGAAGCGACAGACAGATAGACGGACAGACAGACGGACGTGCGCGCGCGCGCGCCGGTCGACCGTGTATTGGACTTACCAATTTTTAAACTTGACATATTCCTGCATAAAGAGCTTTTGGGATCTTACGTCGTTAGACGGCTTGTTTTCCCCCACCCCGAGCAGCAGCCATGAACGACTGGAGCGTACCTACGTGCCGGGGGGGCTGGTGCGTGTCTGTCTCCCTATCGCTCTTCCCTTCTCTCTCTCTCTCACTCTTTCTACTCTTTCTTGATCTATGCGGGCGAGAGCGGGGAGTCAAGGAAGAAGCGCGCGGTGAGCGCCGCGTTCCATCCGCTTTCAATCGTCGTCGGGTCGCCTTTCCGTCCCCCCGGCGCGGCGCCCGGGCCACGCGAGCGGTCAGCGGACGATCTTTCACTCAAAGCGGAGCCGCCCTTCCTCCACGCCACTTCCCGTACTGTCCCGTACGCGCGAGACGGCGACTCGAAGCGATCCTCACGACGCCGATTCGCCACAGGTTCGCGGCCGCGCTCGTACGCGACTCCTCCCGCAGGAAGAACAGACCCACCCTTAGGCCGGAGGTGCGGACCGAGGATATCGTGGATATCGGACTCGGATAGACAGCCCCCTCGAACCCCGGCTGTGCCCGCCCGTAATTCGCTACGGATCGCCCGCCACCTCGCGACGAAACACTAAACGAGATTCTTTTGATATGCGTCTATTGCTGGATTCACATTGTGTCCGATGTGCATCGTACGACGCTCTGCAACAAAAATCAGAAAACAGGGTATCAATTATGAAACTTTATCCTGCTTTATCCCTAGGATTGAAAGTGGAAAGTGAAAATTTTTACTTTTCATCTTAGGAAAAAAGTTTCATGATTGATATACCCAGTAACCCCGGATCAGCAATAGGTTTTTAAGCCTTAAGCCATAAGAAATGGGCGAATCACAGTCGCTTATTCTTCTCAGATACGACTGTGATTGGTCAATTTCTTAAGCCTTGTGTCCACGATGCTAGAAATCGGTCCGAGACCTCGGATGAAGAAATAATTGACCAATCGCAATGGTCATGTGATCAAATTGTTCAAATGTGATTTGTTAATTTTTTCTCTGTCCGAGATCTCGGATCGATTTCTAGCATCGTGGACACAAGGCTTTACGGCTTAAGGCTTAAAACACCTATTGTAGATCTGGAGTCACGGGCGTCTGATTGGTCTAAATTTTAGGATCTAATGGTATATGACAATCAAGCGCGTTCCTTTTAAATACTCGTGCAACGCTATAGCATCGTGATTTTTGCTCTTCATCGTTGTCAACACTGTCGGCGCTACCATGAACCATGGGATAATAAATTTGAATTTGGAAGAGTGTAACGTATCGGTGTTACTTGATGTTTTTCACCTGTTGCTTTTGGTTTTTCATGTGATAGCCGTGTCCACGTTCTCTTCCACGATGGTTAATGTGACTGGCATTTTGACAAAAGATAGGAAAGGTGAAGATATTTGCATATTTTATCATACTAATTAATTGTCGGTACATACACATGTTTTACTTACAAACGACTCGTAGATTTCCGTCATCTCGTCGTTGTTCCTCACAAACTGTTGAATAAATCGTAGATAATTTATTAATTTAATTACGCACGTATAATTATAATTTTGCCCATGCGTACAGTCTCGTATATGCAATTGAGCATAAAATTAATGGAATGATTAAAGTATATAGGAAAACATTTGTGGTATTGACTTGAATGACAAAAATTTGAGTATACTGTACCTCGATATGGACAAAATATGTACTTTCTTATATTGAACATGAGCTCTAAAATATTTAGAAATGTTATATATATGTACTTTAGAAGACATGAGAACATCTGCAGAGAATATGGACGAGGAACGTAAAAGAGAACTATCGTATCTCTATCTTTGTCACTTGGAAGAAGCTAAAAAGTAAATATATATATATATATATATAATGAATATATTCTGTCATATTTATTTATTATTTATTTTATTAAGTATTTATATTTATTACGAAGAATTTACATCATGTTAGAAAAGTAAATAAGATATCATCTATTTTCTTTTATAGATGGATGGAAGCCTGCTTGAGAGAGCCATTACCTCCATCGATTGAGTTGGAAGAGAATCTTCGTAACGGAGTGTACTTGGCTAAACTCGGTCACTTTATGGCACCCAATATTTTACCAGTGAATAAAATCTACGATACCGAACAGCGTAGATATAAAGCTGCTGGATTGCAATTTCGTCATACAGACAATATAAATTATTTTCTAAAATGCTTGGAATCTGAGCAGCTACCACTGGTATGTATAAAATAATTTTGATATGGTACAAGAAAATATTATAATTGGTACATATATAATTATACAGAATATACTGGCACAATTTATAAGTAAGTTGACAATATTTGATTTTTTTACAGATATTTCTGCCAGAAACAACGGATATATATGATAAAAAGAATATGCCGCGACTGATATATTGTATCCATGCTCTTAGCAAGCATTTATTTAAATATGGGAAAGCACCACCAATGCCAGATTTGTATGGAAAAGTAAATTTTTCTGGTATGTATTTTTGTTCTACTATATTGTCTTGAAAATAGAGAAGTATTGAATATGAAATGATTACTAAAGTGTACTTGAATATTATTTCCTTCTCTTTCATATAGAGATATTTATATTTTTTATACCTACATTCTTTCAGAGGAAGAAATTGACAACGTTACTAAAGAACTGCAAAAACATGGCATTCAAATGCCTGCTTTTCAAAAAATAGGAGGTCTATTGACAAACAGCGCTACTACGGATACAGCTACTCTTCATGACTCTGTGATCGCAATTAATCAAGCTGTGATAGATAATGTATACTTGTTTCATTTTTGTTTACAAAACGAGTTTGCATGGTAATACTAATATAATTTTATGTTTTTAGGACAATGATAAAATTTTACAAAAACTTCGGAGTAAAGAAATACAGTTAAATAATGTTAAACCTGCTTATATAGAAAAATATATAAAGGCATTGTCGGAAGCTAAAACAGCAAAAACAGAGGCAGCACTTAATAAGGTATTTGATGCTTATATAATTTCGTGTTATATGTTTACATTTAGGTAATTTAATTGATCTTTTATAATTTATATAATATTGTTTAGTCCCTTAATGATAGTTACGTAGCAGACGAGTACGACGAGTTATTAACACAAGCAGAAATACAAGGACACATTAATTATGTAAATGGTAAATACTGTCAAATTTCGGCGATTATTACAAAATTGTATCCAGTTTAATTTATGACGAGATATATTTCAGCCTCATGTGCATTGGAAATCATTGTTTCATCTTTATCATATGACAACACAGAAATAATAGCTGCTTTGAAAGTGCCAGCATTATCTTTCAAGGTATAGTAAAAAGTATTCTTTTTGTATACAATTTAATAACTATTTACTAAAATTTCGATCATAATGTTATATATGATTATTCCACAGAATATATATTCTGAGAATGTTGAAGATTATAAAGAACAACTAATGCTAATATTGAATAAATTTGAGTGGAATGATATATATCCATCTGAAAGCATTCAGTATTGGACAGAAACATTTCAGAATGCGATTAACAAAGGAAACGAAAACGCACAACGACGTCGCAAACGTTAATATTATTAAATTAATGTATACTGTTTTATAATAAATTTTAGAGAGATGTATCACAAATTTTTATTCGTTACAGGAGAGAAAACTATCGAACATCTGAATATGGCTTTAGAATCTGCGGACAGAGAAAAATTTTATGAGCTCTTGCAAACTCCGTGTTTAGAAATCTCTCATTATATTGATGAATTTGCAGTTCCACTGTATTATCAAGAGATGAAGGAAGATCATATAGAATCTGGAGTAAGATCACATATCTATGTTTATTTTATTAATTTCTTAGAAATAAAAGTTGTAATTTTTTTAGAGTTTTTTTTTAAACTAATAATACTGACGATTTTTTTCTAATAGACCAATATCACTTATGATGACATAGTCGGTTGTATATCTGTTTTATCTGTTATTGCCGTTATTACCAAAGCAGTGGACACAGGAAATCCAGATTTCATGTACGAAACGCTGTCGAATCCTAATGCACGTTTGGCTGTAAGTATAATAACCATTCTTTTTCCATAGACATTGAAACAAACTTTTAACATATTACTATCATTATTATATAGGGATTGGATGAATTTAATAAAGTGAAGTATGCTCGAGAATTAATAACGGCTCGGCCCGCAAAGCTAAGAGCGCCCCAAGAATGTTCTATATTATCTTATAGCGATATTCAAGAATGCATCGATTTGGTAAACGTACAATGCGACGAAGGTTTTGAAGGTATAACAAAAATGCTACATAAATCCAACGACTACGTTTATATATCATGTTATTTACTTAATATAATGTTAATTTCGTTTAATAGTTATAGAGGTTTTGCAACAAATTAATCGAGCCGTATCAGCGAATGATCATGAGAATATGATGAAAGCTTTAAAAATGATTACCGCAAAGTTTGATATACCCACATATCCATACGATGCGTCGTTTTATTTGAAGCTGCTGAAGAAACGTTTATTTGAAAAAGAATTTGACGGATCTGAACTATGGCTGGACGATGTCAAAACTATAGCGAAGACAGTGACATCAGAGATCGAAGAAATGCAAGAAAGTAGGTCATACGTTCTCTCGATGTGTTTTCCTTCGTTTTCATTGACTTTATTGAATTAGAAATTTGATTTTAATAAATATACAATTTACTTATGGCATATTACAGTGATAGCATTTTTATGTAACATCAACACTTACGTGGAGAATGATAATATGATAGATACTCTCGACTGCCTGGAAACGCTCGGTATATCTGAAAAATTTAATGGATTTACTGAAGAATGTCAAGAGAGATGTTTTCTAGCATTGCGACAGTTACAGAGGTGGAAGGTAAAGCATTTTTATTAATTATATAAGATGTATGCTTAGTATAAATATTGAACATTTTGTTTGTACACCATAGCATGAAATGTACAGTTGTCCATATGTTTGCTATACTACTAACAAAGGAAATAAAATTTATATGGATTTGAAAGGCGGAAGATATGCATGGGAGCGTCCGATAGATTTTACGAAAACTTGTCATCTCACCATAGATGACATAAATGTAAGTATGTGTTCTTTCAAAGTTTTATACCTAATAAAAAATACGTATCGTTAATCTTATTTGTATGCTCGTAGGAAACAATTAAATCTATTTTAGCAGAGAAACATGAAGAAGTTTATATGATGTATGATGAAAAATTGTTTATTAATCTTCAAGCTTGTATTAGGGGATTTTTGTTGCGTAGAAGAATTGCTGATAGATATGCTTATTTCGACGATAATCTGAGAAAAATCATCACGATACAAGCATGGTGGAGAGGCATTAGGCAACGAAAACAATACCGTAAATTGTTAAAAAGAAGGAGACAAAATATGTTGTTATATCAAAGTAAAAACAAATTACTAATTGCAAGAGCAAACGACAAGATTGATAAATTAAGTCGATATAAAAGACACGTAAGCTCGAATTTTTTAAATATTTTAATATAGTTGCATGTAATAATTATTTCTATAAAATTTAACTTGTTATATTACATAGGAGGATAAAATAATTAAGATACAAGCTCTATGGCGTGGCCGAGCATCGAGGAAAGCCTTTCGCTCCTTATTGCACTCAAAGAAACCGTCGTTCCCTGTTGTCAGATATTTTTCAACGGTATTAGGTTTTAGCGCCGAGGATTATGACAAGGATCTAGAATTACAAGTACGGTAACTTTTGTATTACTTGTACATCACAATATCTATTCTTACATATGATAGTTCTGTTATTATGACCGTTTGTTTTAGAAATTAAAACACGAAGTCGTCCAATGTATAAGGCATAACCAGAATCTATCGGAGCAATTAAACAGTATGTTCGTCAAAATAGGATTACTGATCCAGAACAGAATAGCATTACAGGTATAGTCTCTAAAGTTTAGTTGAACATTTACGAAGATTTCTGAATTTTGCTAAAAAAATATCTCATATTTCTATCTAGGACGTCGTGGCGCATGGCAAAAGTCTGGATACTCTTGCGAAGGAGAAGAACGCGAGCAAGGATCAAAACACTTTAAACGATGTTGCTATGTTGACACACAAAGGTCTCAAATCATTAACGAGAGAAGGTCGTAAGATGTTGGAGGGTTATCAGCACTTGTTTTACGCATTGCAGACGAATCCGCAATATTTATCCAAGCTGTTATATTTGCCCCCTAGCAACAAATCGAACAAGCTGTTCCTGAAGAATATCATCTTGACGCTGTTTAATTTCGGATCAAACACTCGAGAAGACTATTTATTGCTGAAACTATTTGGTTGCGCGTTGAGAGAGGAGATCAAATGCAATTGCCATCAGCCTTCCGACGTGTTGACCGGCAAACCTTTGGTTCGCGAGATGGTGGTCAATTACGCGAAACAATTCAATGGTCAAGCGTCATTAAAACAGATCGTAGGTCCATTAATCGAAAAGGTTTTGGAGGAAAAGGATTTGTGCATAGAAACAAATCCAGTAGACATATACAAGCTTTGGCGGAATCAATTAGAAATGGAATGCGGCCAGTCTTTGGATATGCCCCATTCGGTATCTCAGGAACAAGCGCTGAAACACATTCCAGTGCAGGAGTCGCTCACAAGAGCGATAAATCAGTTGAAGAAGATATCTCTTGAATTTCTCGATAGAATAACACAGTCCCGCGATCTGATCCCTTATGGGATGCTCTACGTTTCGAAGATCCTATACAACACGTTGCTAGAGAAGTTTCCGCATGCTCCCGAGAAGGATTTTTTGAAAGCGGTCGGCAATTTGATTTACTATCACTTCATCAACGCCGCAATTGTGGCACCGGACACATTCGACATCGTCACATTGCCGGTGGACAGAACATTGTCTTCTTGCCAGAGGAAGAATCTGGCCAGTATAGCCAAGGTACTGCAATTCTCCACTTCGAAGAAAGGTTTCGGCGAGGAGGCACCGCATTTGGAATGCTTAAATTCGTTTATAATTGCTTGTCATGAGAAGTTTAAGGATTTCTTCCGATATTGCTGCCAAGTGGAGGACCTCGAAGAGCACTTCGATATTCATGAATATACGGAAGCGACCCTGATACAAAGTCCGGAGATATGCATATCTTTACAGGAAATATGCGAGATGCATGCTCTGATGTTGAATTATGAGGATCAAATAGCACTGGATCCATCTGATCCTCTACATGACTTATTGGATGATCTGGGTCCAGCACCGACTGTAGCATCATTGCTTGGGATATCTAAAGCGACGTACGATGCAAATTTGGCACGATACAGCAAGCAAGAGGTGTGCCTGGTATTGACCAACAAATTTCAAGTGCCACGGAACGACGACACGAATCTGAGCAATCTCTTCGTAAAGACCAAGGAGTTACTCGTGTCGGTTATTCCATTCTTAAAGAGGCCGACTCTTGTGGAGTCTTTAGAAACCACAACCTCTCCGATGTGCGTGAAATTATTTGACTATTCGTCTGTGTCGCCGATAGTTCGCGAAAGTTCATCTATAAATGATTGTAAAATACAATTACGTGCGTATTTGAATAAACTCGAACTCGAGGGATGGATCAATCGCGCGAACGGTTATCAGACGATCGTGACCGCGATAGCAAGGGATATTTGCAACAAAAGCAAGTACCGCGTTGCGAGAGACAAAGAGTTGCAGACGCTGCGGGCGACTAAGGACCGATTAGATGAGAAGACGCGGTACTATCAAGAGCAAGTCGGATTCTATAATGAATACATAAAGGGTTGTCTCCAAAATCTGCACAGTGGAAAGAGTTCGCTCCGTGCATATCGGATGACGCAGAAGGATACATACACGCAGTGCAAACTGAGATCCAAGATGACCGTGAAGTATTCCGCATGGAAGCTGCAGGAGAAGGGCGTGTTGATGGAGGTTGATCAGGCGTTGAGTCCGACGGAGATGAAGAACGTGATTTTCGAGATAAGTCCAACGGAGCACAGTGGTGTATTTGCCGTGCGCTGTAAATTCATGGGTGTTGAGCTGGAAAAACTTGATATTAGCATACAAGAGCTTCTCGAACTGCAGTATGAGGGCAGACCTTGCATGGATATGTTCGGTAGAGCCAAGGTTAACGTAAATCTGCTCCTGTATCTGCTGAATCGAAAATTTTATGGCAAAAAGAGTTGAAGGAACTGTCTTAATATTCTTCTAATAGAATTCGGAACAACTGAGTCGATTCATGCGTGTTACATGTGCAATTCACTGCTAGCACAACGTGTTCAGAGCGAAAGTTTCATTGGTATTTTATTATCGCGACGAGTGTCGATGGTCTAATAAGTATTTTTCGTATTTCGAGATTTTCTTTCTGGGAATGTTGATATATTTTGATACAGAAAACTTCATGTAATACATGGAGTAGGGGGAAGTTTGTGAGATTTTACTTTCTTTTTGGGAATAAAGAAAGCCAATTATCTTTTCCTCATGACGCAAGTACAATTATTTGGACATGCGTTGTATACAAAAAGTCTGTTTTTTTTTTTACTACAAAATTCTTTCAATTTTACTCTCTCCTCTTCCTTTCTCTTCAATTTCTCCATCCTATTTTCTTCTCTTCTGATATAATTATATATTTATTTTTGGATGAAGAAAACCAGAAACAGACAAAAAAAGAACAGACCGAAATTAATTACGTTTCAAATCACACAATATTAGGAGAGAGAGAGAATACAATTAATTTTTTAGATAATTTAAATTATTAGAAATTATTATTTTGCTAACTTAGAATATCAGATCGATGGCGTTTTATGTACTTTTTCTAATAAGCTGGAAAATATGGTGTATTACGTCGACTTGTCACTGATTTTATTTCATGACTTTTTAATAATTAAGTTATTCACATGCATTGCTAACAATATCTTACAAACTGCTGCATCCCAGTAACCTGTTTAACAGCAATCTATCTAGTCTATGATATAGCATTCGTTTTATAAATAATTGTGTACGTGAATATGTTCGAAGTACCAATAATGCAACAATGATTATTTGACATCACACATATTATATATATGTATTTATGACGAGTCTTTGCATTTGTATATACGGACTCTCGGAAGTATAAAAAAAAAAAAATGAAAATTATTAGTACTCTCTCTGTTTTATGTTATAATAGAATAAGAATGCTTCGATTGACATTGTAATATACGGTTTCAATAGTCGGAAAGGATTAAGTCGACAATTTTAACAAATTTTAATAAATTTCTATCTTTAAACATATAATTTTGTTCTTAATTTTGTGGCGTGTACTTGTATAAATCTTTGTTGAATTATTAATTTAATTATTAACTAAAAGAAATTTTTTAGTAATAAAACAATATTTGAAGGTATCAGAAAATAATATAATTAACATATCAATTGGTTTATTGAAATGATAATTATTAATAATTTGGAATATCGGATATCAAATCTGCTGTTCCTTGCTGTATTTTATTTTTTTCAAATGTTCTATTTACAATGATATTAAATTACACATTTGGATAAAAAATTTAAGATTTATTCCAATCAAGTATTTAAATGTTTATAATGTTTATATTAAAAACTAATACATATATTTTGAGCATATTATAAATTAACATGTTGTGGTCTTTTTCGAAACATTTCTTATTTTTTAGCTTAGCAGTTTTTTTCTCAGTTTTACGATTTAATTCATGAATATCTTTACAACATTAAAGAGTTTGCTCACCTTAATGGAAATGTTACGATTTGCGTAAAAGTTCGATATTACATTCTTAACAGCATAACACATTCACAGCTAAAATTTTAAGGAATTTGTCTACATGGTTTGTAAGAAATCTAAAGCTAAAGATCGTGATTTTTATGTATGTTCTTATGAATAAGAATAAGACAGATATATAGCCATGATGATTATTACGTTGTAACTTCGTAAATAAGGCTACCATCTGAATAAAAAAACCTTTCATTATAAATTTTATATATCGATAAATAGTTGGTAAAAGCATGATTAACGTTCACTGCACGATTTCTGTGTGACAACCAATAATATATATTATATAAAAAACTATTCCTGTCCTTTGTCAAAAGTGTTGGATTTCATTTGTCTCATTCTTTTCTATGCATAAATAGAGGAATCGCTTCCCTTACCGCACGCTCCTCGCAAAAGGTGAGCAAACTCCTTAAGTTATCCTCTGCCCATATGTATCTTGTATTAAAGTGTAGAAAGTGTAGAAAACAGCTGAATGAACAGATCAGGACATTTAGGACGCATCACATAAAATAATTTGAGAGCTTTACCGTGAATAATTCTTCTGATCTAATTATCTTAGTTTATATTATAATTTATAACTTGTTACGAGTTGAGTTTTTGGTTCAACGTCATTTTTGTTGTATAATATAGAGCTTTAAATGGATAACTCGGTGTTGGTAAGTAACCTCACTATTATGGAATACAACATTTCACTTTTACATTCTAATTTTGCTTGTAATTCTAATTATGTAATCTTTCAAACAAATATTAGCGATATGAGACTCTTCAACGATCTATTAAAAGCATCAAAAATTTTGATTTCTTTAATTTATCTAGACATCATATTAATCTCTTTGTTATAGATAATTTTACAGCCAAGGTTCTGAAATAACTTTCTGTACATAATAAATATTTACAATTTAAAAAATAACTGACAAATATATTTAAACATTATTTGCTTAATTTCAGGATATAATCCTTTAAAAATACATATATGTTATTGACATAAGAATTTAATGTTTTTATTAAGAAATGGCTAGTATGGAAAATAATTCTAACACGAGTGGAAATAACACAGAGATAGAGAATCAGCTCAAAGAGAGAGCTGAAAGAAATCGTCAGAGAGCACTCTTGTTAAAAAAATCTAAAGTTGTAACTCATCCATATGCAAGGTATATTAATATGTACACGAAAAACAATTAATATATTTAAAATGCAATAAAATCATCTTTTATGCTGATTCTACAATGAGTCAGTAGTCAGTAGTCCCAAGTCTTATAGCCCTTCTACAATAAGCCGCAAATCAGAAGTTCTAAACGATCTTAAGTCATAATCGATGAAGTTGGCCATAGCCAACTTGAACGACTTGATTAAGACTGGTTAATACTTTTTGACGTTCTGACTTGCGGCTTGTTGTAGAAGGCCCATTATTGGTGAAGTTGACCAATAGCCAACTTGTATAACTAATGCCAATTGACCAACTTCATCAATTAAGACTAATTATAAGATTTCTAATTAGCAACTCATTGTAGAATCAGCATTAGTAATCGATTCTTTGACAGTTTTAAAATAAACATTTTTTTTATTAAAAAACTTACGAGTCTTTACTAGTATTCTTATTAATATGCCTATAGAGAAAATAATGGTTCTACAAAAGGGAGAATGCTAAAAGTTCAAGGGCAACGTGTTATCGATAGCGGAGGAGGTTTCTTAATAGAAGAAAATGATGAATTAGAGCAGCAAATGGTACATAACACATATGTACATAATTATATCTATAATATTAGTACATTTATGATAATTCATGTTTATTTATTTAGTTGAAGATTAGGACCGAGCCGGCACCAGATATCGGTAAATTTAATGAATGTGAGGAGTGTCAACAGAAATTTAGAGACTCGTATCTTTTACAAACATTTGATTTGACCGTTTGTGATAAATGCAGGTAGAGTAGCGGCATTTAAAATGAATATTTTCACTTGTATACGGTATCTATTTTCTTTCCCGCATATCTTTTGAGAACAAATCACAAATATTATATCGTTTTATATTATTTTAGAGATAAAGAAGGAAAACACTCCTTAATTACTAAAACTGAAGCTAAACAAGAATACCTGTTGAAGGATTGCGATCTCGATCGACGAGAACCCGTGCTTAAGTATATTGTACGAAAAAATCCTCACAACGTGAATTGGGGTGAAATGAAGTTATATCTGCATCTCCAGATAGAACAGAGGGCTTTGGAAGTTTGGGGTTCGGAAGAAAACCTGTTGAAGGAAAAAGAAGCGCGCGAAATGAAACGAGAGGGAGCTAAAATAAAGAAATTTAATAAAAAGGTATCTTAATTTATATGTCATTTTATATTTTATTATATCATCTCTTGCTAAACCAAATCTTATTCCATGGAAACAAAGATCAAACAACTGCGAATGCAAGTGAGAAGTTCATTGTACGATAAGACAACTAAAGCGTCGCATGTTCACGAGTTTGGAGAAGACACATACAATGAAGAGGATGATACGTATATACACACTTGCACAACGTGCGGTTATGAAGAAACCTACGAAAAAATGTGAAAAAATGCTATTATTCGTGAAAATATGAATCATGTGTATTTGATATTACTTTACATGAGAAAGAATACAGTTTTCCATTGAGTACAATCTTACCGACGAGTCCTTGAAATGTTTTATTGCTTCTTGAAAATTTGGATGCATCGATATTCGTTCTTTATTGACCAATGTAGTTTTGATTTATACATCTTTTTTTATATTTTAAACAATTAGATTAAATAAATTTTATTTTTGATCAATTACATATTTTTCTTATTAATTTTTTAAGCCTCTACTACATGAATATATTTTTATCTTATTTACGTTAAAAAAAATGTTTAGATTAAAAAATTACTACACTGTATACAAAATTAGAAAAATTTATGTACAATTATGAAATTGGAAATTTTTTAATTGCTATTCTTTTATACTTACATTGTGAAATAGTATATTTTCTTTGTCTAAAGATAAGGGAACTAAGTTTTAATGTTCAGCAGAAGACAATGCTAAAATAATTTGTGGTGTCATATAAACACTAGTTTGAAATACAAGCTTTATTTAATTCTTTTACGCAAACTTTATTTGATCTGAAATTTATTACAATAAATGTGTGGGCGTATAAGCGTATACTTACTTGAACTGAGAGAAAAAAATTTATAAACAGATAATGCAAGACAATCGCGTTGAAAATATCTATGTAATCTATTATTGTCCATTGTTGTTTAATTCTTAATAAGACTTTGATTAGTTAAAATTGTATTTTATCACTATTATATCGCTTATTTACAGAATAAGGGAAATCTTTGCTTTGCAACTACATAATTACTGTTTATACATTATAACATAAATTATAATGCAATTTATATGTTATAATTATGTATTGTAATAAATAATACAGATTAGTTTCATCTTTATCTCTTTATTTCGTTAAAACTTGCACGTGTTAGTTTTTTAATTCAATCTTTAGTTTATGGACGAATTAAATCCTGATTAATATAATATAGATATTTCAAAACAATTAAAAAAGTTTATTATTTACATTACAGCACCAGAGAGATAGAGATGGGGGAGGGGGAGGGGGGAGGCAGTTGAAACACTGCTCCATCGAAACACTTCTTCCATATACATATTTACATAGATAGAATATATACATTATAGAATTCTTCGACCTACATCTCATCGCATATAGCAGAAACATGCATACTTGACTAATTGTTTCTTTGGAA